GACTGGACACGCCCTAGAGCCCTCCCGCGGTCCCTCTCTGGCTGGCCAAACTCCCGCATCCATCCCCAGCCCCGATCATGCACTGGTGGGTTCCTTTGGCCTGGCCTACACCCTCTCGCAATCCAAGCTAAGGGACCACTCCCCCCCACCCCAGTGTACGAATTTGGTGCACTGGGCCTCTAGTAAATAAATGAATAGTATCTACTGTACCAATGTTAATAGTAATGTACTTATAAAAATATAATAAAATAAAATCAATGTAAGGACACAACTTACCCAAGCTATACCTGCTGCCAAATATCCCGTGACCACCCTCGGTGACAGTGCTCAGAAAATGATCGCTGAAATTCATCGCCTTACTCAGGTAAAAGTTCTGGCCAATAAAAAAATGCAAGCACCGTGATGATAAGGCTGCTGTGTCCTAACACCTCCCTGCCAACCTGTTCCTCTTTCTGTTAATGACAACTCTGTCCACACCTGGACATCCTTCCTACAACTCCCTCACACCCAGGATGTTCTGTTCATTCAGCCTCTTAAACAGGTCCTCAGTCTGGCCCCTCCTCTCGGTCATCACAGCCTCACACCGGGATTATCACAATAGCCTCCCAACAAGTTCCTGCCAGCCCACCTTCCATGTGGCTGCCCACTCACCCTTTTTATAAGTAACCGTGTCCTGACTCTGCTTAAAACCTTTCTGTGTCTTGGAATTAGGTGGCAGGGTGGGGAGGCTCAGGCTGTAGAATTTAAATCCTGGTTCTGTCACTTACTAGATTAGGGACCTTGGAAGAAACAAGTTCCTTAACTTCTCTGAGCCTTTCAGTTCCCTCACCCACAAAGTGGAAATATTATGATCTGCCTCAAAGGGATGTTGTAAAAGTAAAATGAGGTGAAACAGATGTTTATAAAATGAGGATAGATAATACATAGGCCAGGCTTGAAATCCTGTATCCATCCTACCTTCACGTGGCTGCCGGCTCCTGCCATAGGGAATCACCTGCTACTTTCTGAACACAAAGTGCAGGCTAAGAAAAAACAGTGAGCCTGGGCATATATACTCCCCTTCTACTTGATAGATACCATGTTGTAGATGCTATTGGTGCCCACCCAGTTCCCCCTAACTGGTCAACTGCTGTGTGGGTTGCTAACAGCTCACAGCTGACCCCGTTCTCCTGCCCTCAGTAGTTGGGTGCTGCTTTACCATAGGAGGTATGCCCCGCCTCTCCCTGCCTCAACTGGGGACAACTGTGTGGTGTCATTCACAATCCAGAGTTCCTCGTGGATCCAGCTAAAGCCAGACATTACTTGTGACCACTTGCTCATTTAGCTCCTTCCCCTGCCTTGTCCCAAGTCCTTCACTCCCCTTCTCCTGAAATACCTCCCTGACCTAAGCTCTGCTCTGGCCACACCAGAAACATGGCATTTAGTGCTTTACTTGGTTTCAAAGCACTTTCATATGCATTATCCCTTGGATAAGCCCAGCCTCCCTGTGAGGTAGGCAGGGCCCATGAATCTATCTTAATTTTAAAGACATTGTTAACACCCTGCTGGGGATGGCCAGGACCTAATAAATAGGAGTTCCTCTCCTTTTCTTTGCCTTCTTTACCCATCTTCTCAATCCACTGATTCTTCTTTTGTTTATTTTGACTTCTTGTCCAATGACATTTAAAGTTGCCAATATCACTTACACACTTACAGGCTCTGTGGCAATGCCCCAGTCATCATATAAGAGGGCAGATCAAAGGAGACATGGCCACAGCGGTTGGTTTCTTTTTTATAGGCAAACAGGTCAGAGTACATGTCAGCAAACAGTTTTGTCAGTCTTTTCCCAAAGCAGTTGTATCACAGACCTGCCATCAGATGTCAGTGAAAAGAAATAAGGCTGAAAATCACAGGCCCAATCGGGTGGGTGACAATTCCTGTTCTCACTGTATCACTATGTGCCCGAAAACTGGTTCCTCTCAAGCTTAGCTTGGTTATTTATCTAATTCCATTAAAGTGTTGGCCTAATTCAAGTTCCATAATATTTTAAACTTTTCCTTTCTATGAATTACACAGAAACACTTCAATAAACCATAAGCCATAATTTACTAGTTCCGTCAATTCCCCAATAAATAACTTCTGAAGGTTTCACTCACCTTGTTTGAGACTTGAACATAATTCAGCCTGATGCTAACTTCATAGCCATCTTCATGGACAGTAGCAGAAAGAAGCTTTTAAAAAAAGTATTAGAGAGGAGTCACAACTGAGGGTATGGAACTCAGTGCCCTGAGCTACAACAAAGAGATTTTGAGATGTTAAACTGTAAATTTAATCAAATATTTAATTAACACAAAATAAGGCAAAAAAGATACACAGAACAAAAACTAGATAATATAGAACACAAATAGCAAAATGGCAGACACAAAACTAGCCATATTTATAATTTCATTAATTATAAGTGAACTAAATAAATACTCCAATGAAAGAGCAGAGACTGCCAGAATGGATAAGGAAGCAAGATCCAAATTTACACAAGAGACATGCTTTAAGTTTAATCAAACCCTATGGCTGGATGCCACCACCTTGGAAAAGGTGTCCTGGGGGCCAGGTCTTGGCAATCAAAGGCAATGTATTATAGTTGAGCATCTTTCTCTGTAAGCAGTGGGAGGGATTTAGATCAAACCAGAGATCAGCAAATGCTTTAAGGATCATATGGCAAATGTTTTAGGTTTTGTGGGCCATAGAGTGTCTGTCATGAATACTCAGCATTGCCATTGTAACACAAAAGCAGCTACAGAAAATAAGTAAATGAATGAGTATAGCTGTGATCCGATAAAACTTTATAAAATTGGATGGCAGGCCAGAACTGTCCCACAGGCCATAGTTTGCAGACCACTGGATTAGGCAAAAAAAACTAACAAACCATCAAAATAGATGATCAAAGGAAATTGAGCAATATTTGACCATGAAATAGTTTCAATGTTGGACTTTTAGTGGTAGAGGAGCAAACAGGTTGATTTTCAAAGGTTCCTCTAGTCTCGTGACAGAGGGACAGGTCTTCTTACAAGGTGTCTCTTTACAACAGCAGATACAGGGCATGGTGTTTGGGGTCTGACAGGCCTGCTTCAAAGCCTGAATCCCCCCGACACCTAGCAGTGCAGTCCTAGGGAAGTCACCAAACCTCTCTGAGCCAGTGTCCCTGGGTGTCAGGTAGGGTTTGTCCTGATTATGTACTGCAGTGTACAAATCCCAGACTCAGCTGCATCAAACAACTCCCATTTTTATATGTTCATGGATTGCAATGGGGCCCAGGAGCAATGGCTTGTTTTTGTTCTATACGTCTGAGGTCTCAGCTGCAAAGACTCACATGGCTAGAGGTGGCTATATGTTTGGGAACTGGAATGACCTAAAGTCTCATCACTCACTGCCTGGCTCCTGAGCTGGGATGACTCGAGGACTGAATTCATCTGGAGCTGCAGACAGGTGCACCTAATGTGGCCACGCCATGGGCTTGGGCTTCTCACAGCAGAATGGCTGGGCTTCAAGGAGTTGTGAGATGAGCATGCCAAGCGAGAGGAAGCCATGTGCCTACATAACCACACCTTGGGACTCCCAGAGCATCATTTCTGACATACTCTTGTCCAACAGTCACAAGCCCAGCAGACTCAAGGTGAGGAGATATAGATTCCATCTTCTAAAGGGAAGACTGTCGAAGAATCTGTGGCCATATTTTAAAAACAGCCACAGTGGTAATACTCCTACCTTGAAGGTTTGTTTTGAGGACTAGAGATGATAAACATGATAAAGATATTGTTATATGGTTAAATCTCTTAATTACTATTGATAACATAATGTAGGGTTTAAGAAGACAATTCGGCTGGATTAAACTATTCTGGGTCATTTAGCTCTGACCATCAGGATTTCCACAACATGTGGCATCTAAAAGCATGAGATGCTCACAATTTGCTATCTTAGGTCAGGTGCCCAGGAGCGACCCTAGGACAAGACTCATGTGCAGGTGATTTATAAAGGCAGTGCCTGCAGGGGAAGATAGTAAGGAAATGTAGAAAGCAGGACAGCAAAGGGAAAGGAGCCAAGCAAAGTACAATTTCAGGTGAAATTGGCAGAGAGTACTTCAGCCTGATCCCGTGGGACACTGTGAGGTGGAAGTTCCATTCAGAGTCCACTCACCTTTCCCATCCTCGGTTCGGCAATCAAGGCCCGGAATTCAGAGTTGTTCTGAGTATAAGCCCTGAGGTGGGCAGAGATGTGATCCAACTGTTTTCTCCAGTATCCTAAAGAAGAGGAGAAACCCATCCACATGGTTAATTCTTCTGAGGCTAAGAAAGAAAATGCTGATGTGGATCGTGTATTCTCAGAAAGATTGTTTTCCTTTGCCAAACTTTGTGATGGTTTTTACTTACTTGAACCTCAGCTATGTACTATAAGTTCCATTTTTGTTCCCAGCTTCTTTTTACAGATGATTAATTATAGAATATTCTAGAATCTTAAAAGAACATATTTTGATTGTTGCACATTGGGTCTTTTTCTTTTATTCTTTTAAAATTATGTTTAAATTAACCATATTGAGATATAACATTAGTAAAATGCATCTACTTATATTAAATGTACAATTTGAGTCCTGGCCAGGTGGCTCAGTTGGTTGGAGCTTCATTCTACACACCAAAGGGTTGCGGGTTCGATTTCTAGTGAGGGCACATATCTAGGTCGCAGGTTTAATCCCTAGTGGGGTTCGTACAACGGGCAAGCGATCAATGTTTCTCTCTCTCTCTCTCTCTCTCTCTCTCTCTCTCTCTCTAATAACAAATCCTGGGTGAGTATTAACATATACATATATTTATATAACCTGTATATAAAATTTACAATTTGAGCTTTGGCAAATGTATACATCCCCATCAATATGTTGAACACTTGAACATCTCAATTACAAAAGACAAGCAACCAAATTTAAAAATGGAAAAACGATCTGAATAGACATTTCTCCAGAGAAAAAATATAATGGCCAACAAGCACATGAAAAGACAATATCATTAGTCATCAGGGAAACACTAATTAAAAGCACAACGAGGGACCACGTCACATCTACGAGGATGGCGACAATGAAAATATAGTAAGTGTTGGAAAAGATGTGAGAAATCAGAACCCTCATACAATGCTGGGCAGAATGTAAAATAGTGCAGCCACTTTGGAAAGCAGTATGGAAATGTTAAACATAATTTTATTATTTGGCCCAGCAATTGCACTCCTATGTATATACCCAAGAGAAATGAAAACATGTCCACAGAAAAACTTATACATAAATGTTCACAGCAGTATTATTATAATAACCAAAAGGTGAACAAAACTCAACTGTCCATCAACTGATAAATGAATCTACAAAATGTCATAAATCCTTATAATAGATTATTATTCAGCTATGAAAAAGAATGAAAACCTAAAACATGCCAAAATATGGATGAGCCTTGAAAACATTATACTAGGTGAAAGAAGTCAGTCACAAAAGACCATATATGCTTCCCATTTATATAAAATGTCCAGAACAGATAAAAGCACAGAAAGTAGATTCATAGTTGCCAAGCACTTGGGAGAGGAGATGTGGGAAGTGACTGCTTAAAGAGAATAGGGTTTACTTTGGTGTGATAAAAAGTTCTGGACATAGAGTGGTGATGGTTGTATAATATTACTAATGTACTAAAGGTTGCTGAATTGTACACTTTAACATGGTTAAGAGGGTGAATTGTTATGTCAATGTTATGTCAATAACATAAAGAGATAATAGCAAACAGCAATAACAACACAGGTTAACATTTCTGCCATAATAGTAGAAGTCCATGTGTGCTATTTAATTTACAAACTAGAAGAGGGGACTGTGAATCAAAACATCACAATACTAAAAGTTAAAGGAAGAGCAGTTTAATTCAAATGAAAATTCCTTTAAAAAAGTAAAATAAAGGAACTTATTTCTTATATATAAAAATAAATCTAAAGGAAGAAAAATTGAGATTTTCTTTCAAAGAAAGAGTGAGTTCCCTCCTGACAAGAAAGCATATTTTTATCCTCACCTCTTCCTGGGCTGACGGCTGTAAGGAGAGGCTTATGGTCACTCATTTTCTCCTGCCTCTGCTGATGGGAAGCCATTTCCAGTTCCTTTTTCGCTAGCAGGTTGCCAGACGGGTAGAACAGGCCAGTGGTCTGTGTACCTACATTCTTCTTAGTCCCATCATGTTTGGGTAAAGGAACATTCAGGGACTGCCAGGCAGATCGGGACTACAAGTGAGGCAGAAACATAAAACATTATAATTTTATTAATCCTTCATATTACCCTCAGAAAACAATTGTAATTAGAAGTAAAAGTATCTCAAAAAACAACAACTGTATTTTAACCTAAAAGAGGGTTTTCAGCCCTTGCCTCATCTTCCTTGCTTCTGTTTTCCCAGCAACTCCCCTAGCCCCATCCCCTTAGCCATTTAACTGTCTCAAATTCAGCAAATCGACTGATGTTCCCTGTTCTGCCAGAGGCCTGAAAGATATCTATCTTCCCAGCCCTACACTTCATTAAAGCACAGACTTTACTATCCATCCACACCCAACCTCTGGGCACCAATATTTCCTGTGAAATAGTCCCCTGCGTCTGGACCTGAGGACATAAGAGAACCAACATGTAAGGTTATGTAGCTTGTGCACTGCATCTAAAGGGGTACTAGTCACATAGTGGGCATGATATATTTGCATATTTATTAGGATAATTTTTATGGTGGGTAGAAAATGTCTTTCTAACAAAATTAGTATATTATAATCAATTTCCAACAGATGGCACTCAAGTGTCTTCAGGAAAGATCACATTTGCACGAAGGTGCCATGTAGACTATTGGCAGTCCCAGGATGTCCAACCCAATTTGGATTAAGAAGGCTATGAATTCCCTAAAAATTAACACAAAGTTACTAAGTGCATGTGCATTCTCTCTAATAATTATTCATTCTTCTAATGAAGAGATAAGAAGAAACCTGAAGTACTCATATAGCTTATAGAGAAATTCATGAAAGGCTAACACAAAGCTGGTGAGTTGTTTAAGTCCTTCTGAAAATAACCTCGTGAAATTTTCCTCAATCCAGGTCCAGTTTTTATAAATGGAAAAAGCAATTTTATATACCTGATCTAAGTTTCTAAAATATAAAAGAACCTTGGGGAAAGTTCTTGGTGTGCTACATAAGACATTCAAGAGAAGTATTTCCTCTCTCATATATTTTAAATCCACTTCTCCTAAAAGATATTATATCTATTGCCTTGCAAATGCAATTAGACTTCAATCTATTGTAAATAAATGATAGATACTTGATTTCTGAAGAAATCACTCAAGTGTTTAAAACCCAAATTAATTAATTTTATTTCCACACCTAGTTGAAAAATCCGTGTGAAAGGTTCTGGGTTCTCAACCTTCCTAATGCTGCGACCCTTTAATACAGTTCATGTTGTGGTGACCCCCAACCATAAAATTATTTTCGTTGCTACTTCATAACTGTAATTTTGCTACTGTTATGAGTCGTAATGTAAATATCTGCTATGCAGGATGTGTTTTCAGGGGCCGCCACCCACAGGTTGAGAGCCG